GCAACCTGGCTTGTGGCTGAGAAGAGCTCCCGCTGTGGGAGTGCACTGACCAGGCCCCACCAGCAGGAACCCTCATCCCATGAGTGTGTGGCCAGCCTGGGTGAGGGGCTGATGGCTGTTTGCAGGCTGGCCACAGCCCCCAGCCACCCAAGTTCCCAGTGGTGGCTGGCTGGAAGCAGGTATCTGGGATTTATTTATCTTCTATAATTGAAACTTTGTTGCCTTGAGTGGAGCCCACAGCCAGCCAGGGTAGGAAGGAAGCTTGGCTTCCTCTATCTGGTGGCTGGTGGAAGCAGGTATCTGGGATTTATTTATCTTCTATAATTGAAACTTTGTTGCCTTGAGTGGAGCCCACAGCCAGCCAGGGTAGGAAGGAAGCTTGGCTTCCTCTATCACTGGGGCAACCAAACCTCCTGTTGCTCCAGCTCTGTGGCTGCTGGCTGCCATCTTGGTTGGGTTAATTTGCATATAGTCACTCTGATTTTCTTGTGGGCATGGCTTTGTGAGTGTAGCGGAGGTATGGTCAATTTGCATGTTTATCATTTATTAGATAAGATAGATTATATTTTCAAGGTTTGTCTTCAAAGAATTTTATGACAATAGTTATTGTGGCACATTAAGAGAAGGTGATTTTTCTACCAAGTAAGTATTTGCATTTGACATACATGAGAACAGGCTTTTCTTATTGTTTTAAAAGCTTCCTGAATAAAGAATAAAGAAAGTATTATAAAACTTACTATTTTTTTGGAAATATTATTTGGAAAAATTTATTTACCTGGGTTTTATTAAAATAAGAGAGTTGATGATATTAATATAGATTAATTATAGTAATTTATTCCCTAATGGAAATTGAAGGATATGCTTACTATATGAGTATATCAGCCTATGTATGTATTGATATAATTTATTTTAATAAGCAGAATGTTCATTATTATTCTTTCTAATATCTAAACCACTCAGATTTTTTTAAGTTGAATTTATTGTGGTAACACTGGCTAACAGAATTATACAAGTTTCAGGTGCACATTTCTAAAGAACATTATCTGTACACTGTGTTGTATGTTCACCACCCAAGTCAAGTCTTAGTACACTCATAATCAAACCCTATGTGATTTTAAAAAATCAGTATTTAATCCTAGCCAGTTTTACTCAGCAGATAGAGCACAGGCCTGTCGACCAAAGGTTCCCAGGTTTGATTCCCATCAAGGGCATGTACTTCAATTTCAGGCTCCTCCCTGGTGTGGGCCCTGGAGTCAGGGGCATGCAGGAGGCAACCAATCAATGTGTTTCTCTCACAAAATAAAAAATAATAAAATAGTTTTAAAAATCAGTAATTAATCAACACTCTAATATTATTCTAAATTTTAAAATTACTTATTACAAAATAATTTATTTTTAAAATGGTGACAAGTGCTAATAAGCTTATTATAGATTAGGTGACTCGGTTTGCTCAGGATTTTCTTGATGTCAAACCTGAAAGTCTCATGTTCTGGGAACCCCCTAAGTCCTAGAAAAGCTGAGATGGGTGGTCATCCTAGTCACAGGTCAATTAAATAAATGTTGCCAAAAGCACACAAAATACAAAATAAAACCAAGAGTTAGACTGTGAATATAATTTATAAAATTTTAAATTCACCTTAAAGGGTAAAAAAATTGATTTAATTAGTCTGATTAGGAGAGAGTAGTGCTGTACAAAGTCGGATTAAAGGGAAAAAAAAAGTCAGCGCTGTTTAACATAGCTTATAACAATGATTAAAATTTACTTTAATCAGATACTTACTTCTGTAAAAATTCTTCATAGCCACATATACTTAGGAGATAATCTTTGTGGAATAACTGGTCATTTGTCCAAAAATGCAGAATTTCTGCAATTAGGTCTTTGACAAGATAATTAGCTAAAAACAAAGGTGAATAATAAAGTTAATTAGCTTATCATATATTGGCTAAGAAAAAGTTTATAAACACAAACAAATGATATACAAATTATGATGGAACTGTCTAGTTCCATCAAGAAACATTAAAATGAGATTTCTTAGTTTAGTTTGATGTGGAGATGTTTTTGAAAAAAAATGTATCTATTTGATTAGTCTATCTTCATAGTATATAATAGAGCAAGTTATCTCATTCCTGATATCAAAATCTTTGGTACATTGTAGGTGTGCATAAAAATATTCTACTGTGACTACCCTTAGGGATTTCAGAGATCCTAATAAGATCACATAGTGATAAGTGGCAATCCAAGAATCTAAATTAAATCTGTCAATTCCAATTCTTTTTTTATTATTATTTTTATTGATTTCAGAGAGGAAGGGAGAGGGAGAGAGAGATATAAACATAAATGAGGAGAGGGGATCATTGATTGGCTGCCTCCTGCATTCCCTAGAGTGGGTATTGAACCTGCAACCCTGACCAGGAATCAAACTGTGACCTCCTGGTTCATAGGTCTACACTCAAACTGAACCATGCCTGTCAGGCTCCGTTATAATTCTTAATGATTCTAACTCTCTAAAGCTTATTTTTCTTCCTTTCCCAAGTAGAAGCTTTCCAAGGTTCTGCTTTGAACAACATTATAATAACCTTAATGAACATGTATTTTCCTTCTCCACCGTTTCTGGAACTCAAAGTGTCAGCATACTATGATTTAAAGGCTTTTGTTTTCTCATATTTATATTCCATTATCTCCCTCCTAAGCTTTTACATGCATATGCCATTTAATAGTGGCCACAACCATGCTGCATGTTACAATTTATGTCTATGAAATATGTTTCTAACTATAAATGATAAATAGTATGGGGCTCATATCTTATCATAAATGATAATAGTTGAAAATTATATATATCCTATATAATAAAAGCCTAAAATGCTAAGTGTCCAGTTGGCCAATCAGCCACTCATCCAATCAAAGATTAATATGCTAATGATATGCTAAGGCTGCTCAACTGCTCTCTGTGATGTGTACTGACCACCAGGGTGCAGATACTCCAACCGGTAGGTTAGCTTGCTGCTGGGGTCTGGTCATCAGGACTGTACAAGACGGGCCAGACATACCCTGGAGCCCTCCAGCAGTCCCTCTGCAGCTGGCCAACCTCCTGCGTCCCTCCCTGGCCCTGATCGTGCACTGGTGGGGTAGATATTTATAGGTATCTACCTCTATCTCTTTATCATATATCTATATCATATATCAGATATCTGTATCTGTATCTATCTGTATATGTATCTATATCTGTATCTCTATCTATCTCTATCCATCTATCATCAATATCTAGTTATGTCATTTCCATGCTTTGAATGTGACCTTGTGGTCTCAATCAATGTAAGCAAGCGCAATAGGCTATACTGATGAAGTTTAGCCAGTGAGAACTTGAGCAGCCTATTGCAAACACTCAACTGCCTTCCTCTGAGTGGTGTTTTGTTAGAAATTATGTGTTTACTTTGCTGTGGCTTTTTTTACTGTCACAACTTTGAGTTTGTAAGGAAAAAACTGGCTACTGTGCAAATTATACTGCCGGACCTGTCCCAACAAAAAAAAGAAAGCACATAATGATTGATTTTAATATAATACCTTTTATGGTAGATTAAGACATTATCAAAGAAATGGTTAGACAAATGGTAAAGATAACCAGGGAATTATGGATTGTGGAAATGCTTTGACATGGAAGAGAATATCCTAAATATACTGCTGGTTGGGAGTATCGACTGAAATAGTATGAATTGAAGTTAGAAAAAGTTATGGCCCCAGGCAAAACATGACTATAAGGGCTTTGACTAATAGGGGAGAGCATTAGCCAGTCTATGACACAGGAAGACATCTTCAAAGACAGCAGTTCACTTTAATTAACTTCACTTCCATTTCCAGGACTGCATCCCTGTGCCACACCGGGCATGCATGAATTCCCCACTTCCACTACGGTCATCTTTCACTTACATCAAAGACTTCATAACCCAGTTTCCAGCTATTATTCCTCTCCTGTTCTTTGCTTTGATATCTCTTAGTACCAGATTTATGTTACTCTGGATGTTTTTCATTACTTCAAGTTTGGTATATCTAAACCTGAATTATTACCTTTCTTTTTGCAGCCAACCATTAAGTATGTGAGTTAAACTTCTCATCCATTTTGTAAGCCAACAGGAATTATGGCTTTTTAAAAGTAGATTTTATACCTGTACCTTCATTTTGGCAGCTAATAGAATCCTTTTCCCACTTCTTGTAGGCTCTCACTTTATGCAATGCTTTTCAATCTGTTGACCATATTGGAAAGGCTAAGGCCCATTTGAGATTCTTTAATTATAGTACTCTGCACCTTAAATATAATTTTTATGCGTTTCCCTCTATTTCTTTACACCTTTTTGAGATGTATAGTATCAGTGCCTTTTACTAAATCTTACTTCTTCACTGTTATCTCTCCTACACTGGTCTCCAGTTCCATCAATTAAAGGCCCTCTTTTTTACATATTGCATATCCTCCCCGCGCCCTCCC